GGTGTTTTCATACACAATCCAAGACACTTCCATCAAACTGGTTAACATAGCCTTCATGTAACTTTCTTAGTTATTATGTCAAAACATTCATATTCATTTTCATATTCCCATGGGTTCTATACCACATTTGGTGACTGAGATAGGCCTAGGTATTAAGAGTTAATGATTTTTTAAAAATGAATTAGTGAACTTAACCAACTGTATTTCAAATTCATGTTTCCAAATATATTCTTCCTAGAGCTTTCTTTTCTTCATAGTTCAATTTTTGAATCACTAAAAATTATTGGCCTTGTAAGTCCAGCTAAAGATTTATATAATGGTATAATTAATTTTTTAAGACTAATTTTAAAATTCCCTGGAAATTTTATGCTAGCAATGATTTATGTTAGCAATGGATTATTGTTCTTGACATAGTCTCAAGGTATTCCTGCTCTCTTGAGGAGTACATTGCTTTGAGATCCTAGAATAGGATAATTGTGACACTGGGGGGTACCACACAAACAGGGGTAATGAAAATATCACTTTCTCAAGATGTGACATTCTAATTAATTTACTAAAAATTCAGTTTTCCTGAGCACATGTGACTAATTTTTCTATTTTTGTAGAGACAAGATCTTGCTTTCACTCAGGCTGGTCTTGAACTCCTGACCACAACCAATTTTCCAGTTTCAGCCTCCCCAAATGCTAGGATTATAGGCATGAACCATCTTCACTGTGAATTTTTAAATATTTATAGCAGTTTTAAACAAGAGGTATATGTGTATATGAACATGATGTTTATGTGTATTACATGTATCTAGAAAGAAATATATAGACACAGTATAATCTTACAAAGAGTCTATTATAAAAATCACATCTTTTGGACAACATGGACACAGCATATCATAACCTTTCCAGATGGGTTAACTCTGTCTCCTGATGCATTACCAGGACTATCACTCTATGGATGAGGGCTTATTTTAGTGTAGGTTTATTTTTAATGCCAGCAAATTTTTAATTGAAAATTAATACATGCTATTATTTCTAAGGACAAGTCCTTTGCCAAAATAGAAAAGAAGAAAAGACACTCTTTAATTTCTCAAAAGTTATAAATTTCAAATTGGGAATTTCACACCAAAAGGGAATCAGAGTTAATACTAACAGGAAAAATATTTTTCTAAAAGAATAAATCCCTTGGAGGCTAATACCAGGCTAAAGTAAATTATTAGATTGGCTAATTATGTAATTACCTCTGAGATTTTCATATAATGTTTGCACATCTATTTGGGTGGGTTAAGGTAGTCAATAGGCTTATGGCTACCCTCTCGGGCAACTCCAAAACAAGCCAAGGTTACTGCTACTGCTGTGTTCACGGTTCGAGTTACTTCTTCTGGTGTCTTCCCCAGAGATGGGTTCACTTCCATTATATCTAATCCTGAGAGCAACCCTACAACAACAAATGGTAATCATGTCATTTATAAGATAATCAACATTTTAAAATCAATGCAGACTGACTAGGGAGATGGTCTACCGACATAAACAGGTAGTGAGCAATGACAAACACATATATTACGTAGCTGATGGGCGTCCTGGAAGTGTCAACTGGGGCTTG